ATTTGTTTTGCTCGTTATGTGAATTCCTCGTTATGAGAGGTGCTCGTTAAGTGAGGTTCTACTGTACTTCATTTTGTAAACTTGTTCTACATGCAAAGTATAGTAAAACTGTAAAAAACACCCTGTATAATGAAGGTAACCTTACAGCAGATACTATGGCTAAAGTGCCGGGTCTTCTTCACATATTCTAGGCTGTGGCAATGGAATGCTACAGATGAGCAAAGGAACGCATAAATGGTAACCTGAGACATGATGTAACACAAATTGTTGACCACATGAGTAATGTTATTACTTATCCAATTTGTCATATGATGCTCAGCTCACATTTACATAGACCAATCAGCCAGTGGCCTATAGTATGCACATATCTACTTCACACTACCAAAATTATGTCTGTTAATGGGGAGGGTGGCAGCGTAGTGGTTAGATGCTTAGCTGTCAGCCCGCCAGCCTTAGGTTCAAATCTACATTGAGGCCGACATTGCTTTCTGCGAGGCTTCCAGAAGTAGAGAAACGAAGAAGAAGATTGTTTTCAAAATTTGATTTTCCCAGCCTAAAATTAATGCCAGGTAATGAATGTCTTGGGAAGTGAAGGCAGTCAGTGAGATGTTAACCACAACACCCATCAGGTGCTGATTGGTTTCCTTCCCTGTCAACTCACTGAAAATTCTGGCAATCTTCTGGTTCCCATTTTTAATAATGAGGCTGGCTGACTTCAGTGCTGTAGTTGAAACATTTTCCCACCTCACCCAGAACACTAAACCCAGATTGAACTCAGACCACTGTTCCAGCAGGAAAAACGCACACATTCGCACAAAAACCCCTTTCCCCCAAGATAAATAATCTGTGGCCTTACCAAAGATTCAACCCGGATCTCCCCCATGAAAACCCAGCATTCTTAATTCCAACTGCCGTTTCTCTAAAGATAGTATTCCCATTAAAAAAGGTATTTTTTCTTTCATATATCCTATTACTTGACAACTATTATGTCAGGTCTTTTTAATCATACACTGGTGTGTATCAGAACATATGACTACCATTCTAGGTATGTGATAGCTCATAAACGTATTTTTTAAGAATGTAGTTTGATTATTTCTTTTTGACTTCCACATCATGTTGAAACTGTGATTACCTCCTCTGACAGCAATTTCTGACAATTTGAACAAGCCTATGCCCTGCTCATTTCATGTGCAGACGTTCATTTATTCCAGCGGATAGTTGAGTTAAGTCAAGAATTGACATCACAGCACTCGGGGCATTCCCACGTACGTTCTGTCCCCATCTTCAGCAGCGAGCACAAAGTCCCAATACTAATGATAATGGCCGCAGTCTTGTTATATGTCCATCTTGCCCTTCCGCTGAGTGTAGTGAGCCAGCCACACCCTCTGGCCACACCCAGGTTATCTTTCTCTCCAGGTCATAATAATCCAGTTTATCTTTAAACTTTGTTACTTGTTTTGAAAGGGCCATGACCACATCTGCCTTGTTGTATATCAGTTCACCACCCAGGGGTGCAGATCCAGCCATCTGCCTGTTCATTCCACACGATGTCGACATGGCCTGGCGAAAAGATCCAAAGAATGCCCATGACCTTCCAAGTTAATCTTGCCCCTCTGCTCGAAGCCGCATTGTCTTTGCCTTTCCAGCGAATATTCAGCCCTTTGATTGGTGTTCGCTTCACTTCTTTTTGTTTAGAGTTGCCGAGTCATTGTATAATAAGGGAAATATTTGGGCAGCCACTTGTATCATTATATTATTATAAGAAAATGAAGAAGGCAGTATATTGGGCAAGTCGTGAGAGGCACACACAGAAGCATTTAACAGGCACTGATGTGAGAAACCAATGGATTTAGGAAATTAGGATGTCCAAGAGAGACCCTAAGGCAAATGTTTGCTGAAAGAGCCAGAGGCTGGATTCCATCCATGAAATCAAAAGGATTGCACCGGTTAGATCGGGATTAGGGACTAGACTCCAAGACCCATGTGATGTAAAATGGCACAACAGGATAATAATGACTTCATGTAGTCAGATCTGTTGAATAGTGCCCTAGCTGGACTTGACCACATGACTGTCCTCTTTTCAACCTGCTGCTCTTTTTACTGTTAATCTCACTATGTAATGGAAGTTGTTTGTTTGATTCTGAGATAAGCACTTCTTCTGCAAAGCCCTATTCTGCCCTCACTGATTAAAATCAAGGTCAGAAAAATAAAAGATCTACCTCAATGTGGATTTGATCCCTAGACTGGTGAGTTGGCAGGCAAGCATCTGGCCACTATGCTGCCTCAGCTTCCCAGTTTGGTACTGCCACTTACTGCCTTTATTAAACCACTTTTGCGGTGTAGGCAGGGGGGTCTTTGAGCCTGAGGATTTAAGGCCGCATGGCTAGTGCAGGTGAGGATTTTATTTTTGCCCCCGACAGAAAAAATCCCCAGCTTTGCTGAGGATTCGAACCCGAGTTTCCTATATGAGAGCCCAGCGTTCTAATCATTCTGCCAGCCACCCATTTTGGTACTAACAGACATAAATCTGATAAGAGTAAAGTACATATGTGCATACTAATGGGCCATTGACACTTTAAAGTATTCATCCTCTTTGACATTTTGTGTAGGAAATACCATAGTGCCTGGTGAAATGTGGGATACAAAAGTTCATTTTCAAATTTCTAGCACAGAGTATATATATTGTATTTAAGGGGGACAATTTCTGTGTTTAAGAATACTTTTAAAAACCTCAGAAATTTATAAAACATAAAATTAAACTGCATGGTGATTTAAACTTGTACATAGTTTTATTACAAAGAAGTGGCAAAAACACTGGTTTTCGTGCGAGGGCAGAAACAAACATCTAAACTTGAACAACTTGTGATAACCGCACTAGCAATGTGGCCCTAAATCTTCAGGCTCAAATCCCCTGTACTATCATTTCTTATAGTCCGTGCCATGTTGGGTTGATAGTCATGCCTTTTCGCAGCCTTCTGTCTCAGGTACTTTTAGTCATTTCTGACAAATGGTTTTTGATGCCAGCATCTTCTCTCTCGGGCTCCCTCTACCTCTTTTGGCCTCCAGCTTTCCCACCACCATGATGTACTCCAGTTTTCTCCTTATCATAACATCACCAAAGAATGTAAATTGTCTTCTTCTGATCAGGGCATCCACTTCTCTCCATGAGTCAGTTTCTTTCAAGACATCTTTAGTACACTTTTTATGTGTTCAGGGTATTCTCATCATTAATCTATAAAACAACAATTCTGATGTTTCCAAATAATTGTTCACTTATGGTCCAACCATCCATACTATTCTTCTTCTTTTATTGTCTCACTGATACCATGTTTTAGCCCAGTTTCATGGTTTTCTGTATTTGTCTTGTTTTTCTCTGGTGGCTTTAATGATAGATTTGTTAATCTTTTTGCAGGTTTCTACTACACCATTTATCCATATTTTTCTTGGTCTTCCTCTCGCCTTTCTCAGGTTCTACTGTAAAAAGTCTCATATGCAGTCTGGTCTGGCTGCATTCTCACTAGATGGCTGAACTATTTCATTCTTTGTCTGTCAGTATAATCCAGACATGGTCTTATTCCAACTTTCTCTCTAATGCTGGTATTCGTTGCCCTTTTGTCTAGTGTTTTTAGTGACCTTGAGAAAACAGCGCATTTCACATTTGGTTATTTTCTGTTCTGCTTCTCTGTTCATTGTCCATGTTTGGCCCTGAAAACATAAAGTAGGGATAAAGATGCTATTAATCATTTGCTGTTTTGTTGGAAGGGAGATATTTGGGTGTCTAAACAGGGAGGCTAACTGGTAGGTGACAGCATTTGCCTTCTGTCTCTCTATCGAGTCTGCCATCGTCTGTAAAAATGCTTCCTAGATCTTCAAATTCTCTTGCTTGTTTGATTGTGGTACCGTTAACGAGAACGTTTATGATATTATGTTTTCTGCCTATCCTCATCAACTCAGTTTTAGCAATGTTTATTCTGACGTCATCCTTTGTGCAAGCTTGATGTAAATAGTCAATATTGTGTTGTAAATTCTGTTCCTGGTGGTGTTTTAGATATTGATCGTCTGCAAAAAGAAGTTCATTGACTTCTTTAGTATCTGTATTTGCTTACTGTGTTATTCTATCCATGTAAGTAATGGTGAGAGGATACATCCCTCTCTGACACCTGATGAGATAGGGAACCAGTATGTCATTCCTTCTGTTTTCTTACTGTGCATTGACTATCATGGTAAAGAGCCATGACAGGGATGTGCATACTTCACTTTTGTATATCAGGATAGGATTTATCTTGTCTTGAGAATATTCTTCATTTTGTCAAATACTGCCTTTGCCTGAGTTATTCTACATTTACCTTCTTTAATTCATCTTTCATCTACTGTTATCAGGGTACCCAAGTACTTAAAAAAATCAGCTTGCTTGAGGATTGCCCCATTAACTTTTCTGATGCATTTTGGAGGGTCTGTTTTCTTTGTAATTACCATGACTTCTGTTTTTCTGCTGTTCAAACTAAGATCCTTGTTTTGACTCTCTCTTTTACAACTATATCAATCATTTCTTGCGTTTGTGTTTGATTTTTGGCGATCAAAACTATATCATCAGCATATGACAGGTTATTTAAAATATGCTCACCATCTGATATTTCTGGCATACCATATATCAATCTAATTATGATTTAAATAAAAATAAATTTAATGAATCTGGTGATTGTACATTCCTGTCTAATGCCTTGTTTAATGTGTTGAAAATTTTCAGCTAGTTGTCTGTTCTTATAGCTGCATTTTGTAGCCAGTATATGTTTTTTTTTAATGTGACGTCTTTACCAACAGTGGTCTGGTTTCCAATTTCTTCATGTTTCGTTATCAGATGCTTTTGCATAATCAACAAAGCACATGCAATAATGAATGTGTCCTAATAATAAACAATTTGAAAACATTTTTTTTAACCTCCCAAGAACTGTTATAAATGTGAAATGTTATTTAGCTAGCTTCCTTAAGTAATTTCCCAGCATAGAAAGTAAGCATGAGGTGACCATTCTAGGTGGGCTTAATGAGTTCATGGTCAAGTTCTATGGACCTGCTGGCAGTAAGTTTTTGTCAAAAGCATTTGCAGCTGTGTGTATGTGAGAGAGAGACAGAGCGAGAGAGAGAGAGAGAGACTCCCTGGAAGAGAGTGAGAGATTCCCTGGAGGAGAGTACTTTCTTAGAAGAATGAGAAAGATTTTAAGAGAGATATTCCTTGGAAGTGAGAGAGAGAATGAAAGAAAGAGGGGTTCCTTGAAATAGAAAGAGAGAGAGAATGATTTTTTTGGAAAAGAGAGAGAGAGAGATACCAGTTGTTTTTAAAAATCACCTGAGCCTTGAAAACAGCTTGTATCTGTCAAGAGGAGAGTGGTGTAGAGACTTTTGTGTGTGTTCCAAACTTGGTGTCATAGTACCTTATCTGTTAATCGGTTAAGTTAATCATTCATTGTAATTCCAACTTTGTGGATCACCACATAGTTTGCTTATTCTTGTGCCAGCGAAAACCACACAGTCTCAGCAAAGCTAAACCAGTAGCATACACTTGCATTAAATGGATGGGGCAGTCATTAAAAGTGCTAACACAAACATTTCGCCACCAGAATTGCAGTTCATCATCTTTGAAAGTAACAGTTAAAATAAATCAGCAGTTGCACTTGCAGTTATTTTCAAAAGGCACCACCAGTGCTAAGGCAACAGAACACTCACCATTTTCTAAATCTTCAGTTCATAACACAAATCACATTGGGCGCACTTAAAAAAGCATTCCAAAACAACTCTGTGGGTTACAGTATCTTGCGATGCACTCAGCTCAGAAACTGGGTGAATCAGTATGTATTTTCAGTCAAAATATGAGAGAAGATACAACAGCTGATCATTATTTGAAGCAAATAACTTTCCAAAACTTGAAGTCAGCCTATTAGTACCATATTTGAGGAGCTTGTACTGCAGGGCTCTCTTGCCTCCTCCAAGCAGTGAGCAGCAGGATGTGCATGGCCAGTGTTATAATTTCACATCTGCTAGATTAAGTCAGGTCATGATCACCTTTACTTACTTTAGTATGATTGAACACGGCACATACAGACTTGTTGGCATAAGGCCTAGGTTGGTCATATTTCCCCACAGTTAAAAAAAAAATAATGTCAGCAGTCTCCAAACCATTGTTTAGGGCAGTATACATGAATGAATGTCAATTGAAAAGTTGTGCCTTTTAGTACGGCATCAAGCCATGCACTTGGAAATTAGTGTGAACATTAGTCCTCCACATAATCACCCCTCATGTTGATTCACTTCTTCCATCTCTTCTTTGCTATCCTGATCTGATTATTGAACTTCCCTTATGGGCGCAGAACCATATCTCTAGTTCATTAGCTCTTCTGCATCTTCTGCTTCCCCCACCCCGGCCTTTATCTCCTTCCTCTCCGCTTCTTTTTCCCTTGCCCTGAACCATCTCACGCCAAGTTGTCATGTCCTCAGTCACCCTGGCTTTTTTTGGTTTCACCATATCACTTAATATTTTTTCTTGGAAAAGCATTTCCCTATCTTGGTTGGCCCATTTGTTTTTCTCTTGGTTGTAGTTTTTAATGGCATAAATAGTCAGTCCAACACTTGATAACTTCTTATGACATGCCTGTTAAGGTACATTATTGATAATCTTTAATTCACTCGAGGGTCGTGATAACACGAGCAGGAATTTTTATTACTTAGGTCAAAATAGGTGTTGAATTTACTCTTTCAGTACCAGGGGTTTAGCATCAGAGGCTCTAGTAGTAGTTCAGGGAAACGTAAAATCCTCTCATCTTGCGTTCACTAGGCTTGTAGATAGGAACCTGTAAACGTGTGATGCATTCCTTGGGACTGACAGATTTAAAACAACACAAATTTGATGAAAAGAACAGTAATTAGGTAACCATGCCTAATTTACCTTCACAGTAAAGGTAAAGTATTCTTTCCTTACCATGTCTGGAGTCTTTGTGAGCCAAATAACTGAGTGAAAGTGACATTTTCTTTTTCTAAAACTGACTTCGGTTTTATATAAAGACTGCCCAATTTTTATAAAAACTAAAATAAAATTAATTCTGGTCAGCTCTGGATTTATTTTTCAATTTACCCACGCAATTATTTATACTTTCATGTTGTTTAAAATTCAATGAAAGTGTGTGTGCTTGAGCATGCTTGCACAAGAGAGAGAAAGAGTAAGAGATAAAACACAGACACTTACAAATGTGATGAATGTGTTTTAAAATATTGCAGCACCTTATGAAGGAGGAGTTTGGAAAGTGAGAGTCGATCTCCCAGACAAATACCCCTTTAAGTCTCCATCTATTGGTAAGTTCATACTTTCCTATTTCCTCATCGAATCACTCAGAAATAGGCGTGGATGAATTGATTCTACACGGTTTTGACCTTCACTTTGATGTTGTGGAGCTAGGCTATTATCATTCCTTGACCACCCACCCACACATGGATTGGCATTTATCTATATCCCTACTAATCTTCTTCTTCTTTGCATTCAGTTTCATATGCTCAGATCAGACCATCAGGTGGGTTGCCTCTATGAACTCGCATGTCAGTAGCAGGCCCTTCATGGTTCCCCATAGCTTGGTCTTCACACTTTGCTCTTGAGGTCAGCTGTCTTTTCGAAGTTGTAGGTAGAGTGGGCAGGTCTGCAGAATGTGCTCAGATGTTTGTGGTTCTGTTTGACAGGCACACTGTGGGGGACTGTACAATCTTTATATTATGCATGTGGTAGTTAAGCCTGCAGTGTCCTGTTCTAAGACGGAAAATTGTTGTATGCTGTTTTCTGTTGAGTCTGCTGATGGGGTCTTGTGGATGTTTACTGTTAGTTTGTTCTCACTACAATTTCTTGTATTTTCCTTTGATTAGTGTTTTGATTTTCTGGTAATGACAAGGAATGGGCTTGTTGTTTCTCCTTTGTTCCATTTTTTGCAAGTCTGTCTCTTTTTTCATTTTCTGGTATACCACAGTGAGCCGGGATTCACTGGAGAATGATTTGATTGTTTTCTGTGAGTCTGTTTAGCTGGTGGGTTAGTCAGTTCTCTCTTCATGTTGTCTCATGGATCTCTTTTGTTCCCCTGGAGGACTGACATGCAGTCACAAAGGAAAACAATTTTGCTGTTTTTAATTGTTCTTTCCTCCAGCACTTTGGTTAAATCAATAATTGCTTGCTGCTCTGCTCTGAAGTTTGTTGAGAGTCTTCCGGAGGCACATGAAGTTTCTACTGTGGTCCCATCTTGCAGCATGACTGACCCAGTTCCTCCATTTTTTCCTGCTTCCTCCAGTGATCCATCACTGCATACGTGTGTCCATTAGGGTTTTGGATAACAGTTGTAGGCATGTTCAAGGGTCTTTGCATGCCATTCTAGGTCAAATTATTCAGCATTTCTGTCTATGCCTGGAATTGTTGTGACTGTATAGTTAGGCTGTAGGTCTATGCTGTATGCCTGGATTGTTTCCCAAGTTGAAGGAACTTTAGAAAGGATGTCACTGTTGTTTTTTATGTGTAGTACAATTTTTATCGGTAGTAAAAGCTTTGTGTTTTCAGTTAGTTTTTAGTTATTTGTTATTCTGTGCATGGGGTTTGTTGTTCATGCATTTACATTTTTCTGTTAGGGTAAGCACCTTTTCTTCCCTTCAAAGGCTCAAGCTCTGCAGGCCAGAAGTTGTGGATTGGTATGCTTCTCATACCTGCAGTGATGATTCTGAGACCAGTATCCTGTATTTTATCCAGTTTGTTTAGGTTTAATTTGGCTGCAGTGGAGTATGCTGCTATGCCATACTCCAATTTTGGGCGTACGTATCCTGTGTATATTTGTCGTACAGAGTTGGCATATGCACCACAGCTTGTTCCAGTAGTTTCTTTATAAGTCTGAGCCTCAGGGTAGCTTTCTTTTGGGTGTCTTCAATGTGAAGGCCCCAGGTTAGCCTTTTGTCGAATTTTACTCCCAAATATGTGGGGTTATCCTCTTTTGAAAGGATGTTGCCTTCTAGGTACAGATCAACTTGTTCTGGCTTTGTGGAAAAAGAGAAGAGAGTTGAGACGGTTTTAGTCTGGTTGATTGTAACTCCCGATGAGTCTGTCCATTTCCTTACTGTATTTATAGCTTCCTGCATTCTTGTTTTAGTTATCCCTACCAATCAGGTCCCTATAAGTTTATTGACTATTCATCCTTCGTGGGATTTTCTTCTATGCTGAAGTCCAAGAAGGACATTTTGATCAAAATCATTATTTCCTCTGTTACCATATCTGTCCAACTGTAAACTTTAGTCACAGCTTTTTTCTTTCTTTGCTGCTCTGCTCATTTCAGAATGATTTTGAGATGAGAAAAATTGCTTTAAATAAAGTTTCAGTGTGATCACTGTCACGCACATGAAGGGCTGAAGAGAGGTGGGGATCTTCTGTTGTGGTTACATGTTTGTAGCATGCAAACCAAGGAGTAAAACACCAAGTTAGTAAAGAGTTTTTCTACCAAATGAAGAAAACCTTAACGATCAGAACATTGCAAGCATGCAGCTCATTCACACTAACTACAGCCTGTATAAAGTCATGGACAGATATATCCCGCAAACATACTGAAACAGCAAGTGTCCTTGATGGGTATAGCTGTCCTACACACTTAAGTCATGAAATATACATATGAACTGGCTTTAATTTCAGGAAGAAAACTTGTGGCAACTGTAGGATGCTACTGTATTAACTCTTTGAGTCCCAGATATAATCTACATCATGCCTGCTACCTTTACTTTCTGGGGTATTTCCCTATACCCATTTTAGGCTGGGTTGATCTGGGAGCTAAGACCCTTTTTTTTTTTTTTTTAATCTTACAGTGTATAAACTTAGATCCAAGACTTTAAGGTTGGCATGCAAACATCTAGCCACTGAGCTGCATTGGTGAATGCTTGGTCACATAAAAAATATAGGCTAGAATTTGAAGTGACAGAACGGGTCAAGTTTAATTTAGTATATCTTTGTCTTGACCTTGTAGCCATGTAGTTTAGCAGCTGGACAACTGCCTGTTAGCCCAAATGTCTAGGCTGCGAATCCTCTGCAAGGCAGATTTTTTTCAAAATTAACTTTGGCTACAGACTTTGGCTTTGGCAGACTATCACCTATGGATCCTAATGTTGTGGGTCCAGATCCAAATAGTTGGATTTAAAAAAAAAAAAAAAAGACTTTGTCTCCTTGGTCAACTCAGCCATAAACGAATACCAGGTAAATTCCATGGAAGTAAAGGCAGCCAGTGTGATGTTACCATCATCCACTGAGTACCGATTGGTCTATAAAATATAGGTCTGGCAGTGTGTGCCCAATATGCCTGAAGACCTGAAAAAGGACCCTTTCCATTATTTTAATGCCTGTATTTACTTTTAATTCTCAGGTTTCATGAACCGGGTATATCACCCAAACATCGATGAAGTGTAAGTATTCTTAATGTACACATTTCAACATAAGCATGCACAGTCATTATTTCGCTAACACATTTTTGTCAGGTGCAAAAATCAAAATTCCAAAACCTGAAGAATTTGTTGAGGCTACACTAGCCTAAGTCCTCATGCTCGCGACACAACCATCCCCCTTATTATCCTACACTGCCCTAACAAAGTAAAATTATTTGATTTAAGAATTGACAATTATAGCACACCGGGCATACACATAGATGCTTTGTCTACCGCAGCAAATGACGCAAAGTGTAGATGCTAACTGTTCCCATAGCACACTAATTATACACAGGCTGATCTCTTCCTCTCATCTGTCGCTCCTTGCCGGATCCACACTTAATTCCTTGTTCACACATTCTTGCCCATGTTATTTCATCTAATCTCGTCTCCTCTGCTAAAAGTCGTTCATATATGGTCGTCAGAATATCTTTCTTGTCCAGTACGAGTGTTTCCGTAGCTTTCGCTTTTGTAGCCAGAAAATCTGTTTTTTTCATTCCCTCGCACTTCTGCATGTCCCGGACAATATATCCAATTGATTTCCTGCGATGTTGGCTTACTGATGTATGGTATCCACTCATGCCACATTAGTCCATTTTGAATCCTCCACAATGCCAACTGAGGATCAGACACAATAATTCCTCTGGTAACTTTGTTTTCTGCTATCCACTTCAGAGCTGCAGTGATTGCTTGCCCCGACTTCCATTCTCATGCTTAAAGTTGTAGATAAAAAAGCTCTGTTTTGTTCTGCAAAAATGTTTCCCTTAATTCTATCTGAAAATCCCCAGCCAGATATTACACACACAGAACAATCGGTGTACACAACTTCATTATCTAGTCCAACCTTTCCATCTATCAGTTGTTGTACCTCTAATTCTGCCATACCGTTACGCCACTCTCTACATTCTCATCCTAATGTTATAATGACTTGATAGAAACTGCTGTTTTGGGTATCTGTGATAATCCATTCCTGCCCCTTGTGTATTTGCTTGACTGAGGCCGCCGTCTCGATGGTATCTTCAGCTAGTGCCATCCATGACTTTCCTCTTTTCAACCGGTATGTGCCTTTCATCATTGTTAACTCACATATAGGCCTTGGCTTGCGCCAGTGACAGTCTACACTTTACTGATGTTAGCCCAAGCATATACCTCATTGTTCTAATTGAGGTGTCCTGTGTGCACCCTAAGATGATTCTTATTCCTTCTAACAAGGTTTAAAATACAGTTTAAAATCTAGAACTTTTCCTAGTTCATTTTATTTACCTATCTTGAGATTAAAGTTTGTTTTGTTTTTAACCCATTATTTCAATAATCTCTCACAGAGTGATTGAACTATGCTAAATTTATCCTAGCATAATATGCTTTATATACCTTGAGGAGTGGTTATGGTCCCTTATTAAAATAAGCATTATCTAAATCCAATAATAAACATGAACAAGTTAGATATGGTCAAGGTCTTTTGGGAGAAGGTGGACAATGTGGAAGTACAAAAGAGGCCATTACAGTATGGAGAGAAGGGTGCAGTGGGGTGTGACCAAGGGATCTGCGGACGACCTACACTGAGGACAGGCAAGATGGAAGTACAAGGGCTAATCCAAAATTTACCTCCGATTGGCCTGTAAAAAATAAACTTTGCCATAGTGATAGTCACGCTGAACAACAACAGCCTTGAAAAAGTCAACAGTTTCACTTATCTAGGGAGCAAGATGTCATCTACAGGAGATACCGCACCAGAAATATCATTTAGAATAGCACTGGCATCTAGTGCCTTCAATAAACTGTCTAACATCTGGAAATCAAAGACACTTAGCAAACACACAAAACTCAAGATCTTCAATTCTTGTGTGATTCCAGTACTAACCTTTGGATGTGAGAGCTGGAAATCAACAAAAACTCTAGACACAAAATTAGACAGTTTTGAAAATAAATGCCTTAGAAGAATACTAAATTTCAAATGGTCAGATTTCCGAACCAATACACAAATAAGGCAAGAGTATGTGTCTAATTTTATACGAAAACGCCGCTGGAACTATGTCGGCCACGCCCTTAGAATGGATAAATCAAGACTTCCTTACCAAGCCCTCATTTGGACACCACAGGGGAAAAGATCTCGTGGAAGACCAAGGGAAACCCTACGTAGAACTATCATCAGGGAAGGCTCGCTCATGGGCCACTCAAACATCCAAGACCTACAACAGATTGCAGCGGACCGCCGTGCATGGAGAGTCGCGACCTCTGCCCTATGTGCCGCACTCGACACAAGAGGAAAGACTAACTAACTAACTAACTAATAGTGATCACCATTTATTGCTTGTATCATATAGTAGTCTTTTAGCTCACTAAATATGAACCTACAGTCTCATTTGTTCAGTGGTTCACAATAAATAAACATTGATACTGTTATTGCCTCTCCTGTCAGCTGTGAAATTCGTGGAGTGATTTGTTTTCTTCAAGTAGAAGGTTAAATAAATAGCTGCAGAGTTCTATCGTTGATTATGCGTGTGTAAGATGATAATAATATGAATTACATTTCTTTGAGGAATTGGTGCAGGAAATTCAGAGATGGACATAAAGATGTGCATGATGAGAGTGGACAAGGACAACATTTATGGAAGACAGATGAGCTCGTTAAAAAAAAATTGACCAAGTCATAGCGGAAAAGCACTGTTTCACAATTTCAGATCTTTCTACAGAAGTTCACAGACAGGTTAGGTTAACACAAATTCTGTTCTCATATAATCAAACTGCTACTTGTACCATCGGAATTGGAACTCTTCACTGGCTGCTGAAGATGGGGACAAAGCGCTTAAGGGAATGTCCAGAGTTCTGTGTTAATTCTTAACTCTACTTAATAAACCAGAATTTTGAACAGGACATAATTTTATCTGTAAATCTGTTTCCATAAAGCTGCAAAGAGAATTTCTTTTGAGGTTTCCTGTTGTGAATTTGTTTTATGAAGTTGTATGAATGTTTGTACACATTATCAATTCAAAACTTTATCTAAGCTGTTATAGTTCTTCTTTTTCTTCTTTTCTTCATATTCACTGGCTGTAATCTACAGCAGAAAGTTCTGGTTGTTCGTCCACTTCTCGACTTTAGTCTTGTTCCAAGAATTTTGCATGCACATCTGTTTTGCAGAGCTGAATTATTTGTATGCAGACTGTTGGTTCCTTGCCTTTCCAGTAGATGCACTTCGACTTCACATGAAACATCCCTAATTAGTCAACCTTCCTGATAAATGTGTCTGCTTTGTTTTCTTGTAGGTCTGGTACAGTATGTCTGGATGTGATAAATCAAGCCTGGACTGCCCTTTATGGTAAAGTCAAAATATCACTGGTTAAATTGTGTAAATATTTACTCAGTAGACTAAAGATAATTTAATATTTGATTTAAAATTCAGTGATATTATGGGTAGCATTTTTTTAACAAAACTGTTTTAATTGAAACAATTTAACATTAAGCTGCAACAATTTTATTTTGATAATGTTCTCCCCCCCCCCCCCCCCCCCCCCCCCCCGGTAGCATCGGCTATCCTCTGAATAACGGTCCCAAATTATCGAGGCTGAAAATATACCCTAACAGGGCCTCAGTCACATGTAAATTATGGACCTCTTTCTGTCAACTACACAGCATACTGCGGAAAAGTTTCCCCCGAGTTAAAGTCACAGCCGAGAGTATCTCCCGTGGAGCGGGGCTAAACTTGATGGCTGGGACTCATGAGCAGCAGCTACCGCATCTCCTGCAGTTTCCTTCATTTTATTTGTTAGTGAGTCTCAGCGCGGGAGATACTCTTGGCATTGGCGGTATAGTCATCAGAAAGAAGTCTGCAATTTACATGTGACTCTGGCCCTGTTAGGGTATATTTTCGGCCTTCATAATTTGGGACCATTATTGGGATGTAGCCGTAGCATCATATAAATTCTCATAATGAACTGATGTAACATTGGCAAGAAGTAGTAAGTAGTACTTGCAAGATAATTCCAGATTTATACACAAATGTCTGCTTAAAAGGGGGGGGGGGGGGGAATTAACTTCATACACTTTCCACCATTAATTGACTTCAGCTGCAGACATTGTCAGACTGTACAAGGTAACCAACATTTTTCGAATGTCACATGACACATAAAAATGGGTTGGAAGTTGACGAACTATATTTAAAATTACAGACTTATTGAAAATGAAATAAATCTATTTTCATTTTTCATTGAATTAAAAATGCCTTGTAAAAACCTCAGTACTTGTGTATTTTTCAGCTTCTTACCCCATTGAAACTTAATTTGACATACATAAATGTGTTGCTAATGCAGCGAGACCTTGTTAACATGAACTGGCTTAAGAGGAATTTTCTGTTAACATGAACTGGCTTAAGAGGAACATTCTGTTAACATGAACTGGCTTAAGAGGAGCATTCTGTTAACATAAGCTGCCTTAAGCAGAACATTCTGTTAACATAAACTGGCTTAAGAGGAATATTATGTTAACATAAACTGGCTTAGGAGGAACATTCTCTTAATAGGAACTGGCTTAAGAGAAGCTTTATGTTGACATAAACTGTCTTAGGAGGAATATTATGTTAACAAGAACTGGCTTAAGTGGAACATTCTGCTAATATTAACAGATTTTGATCCCAACAGAAATTATTATTTTTATTAGTCACTGGTTTGCAGTTTTTTTTCCAACATGAACTCAATTTTTCTACCTCTGAATTACGTGTTGTTAACATGGTTTTGCTGCATTTGCTTATATACAGTTGTAAAGAGTTTGATCTAGACACTTGTTTTCTTCATTGTTAAAGTATAGTTTTTTTTAATGTTTTTTTTTTGTCATTTTGAAATATACCAGAATTATGTTATTAGTTAATAGACACTTAACATAATAAGACAGCCTAGTGGCTGGACACTTGTGTGCTGGCCCATGTTAATATGGCTTTACTGTGTTTGCATATCTTCATTTGTATTCCAGTTACTTGTTTTCTTCATTGCTAAAGTAGTTTTTATCATGGGGAAATATCCCAGAACGTGGTTATTAGTTAATGAACACTTAACAAAATCAGGTACGGGCAAAAGCTAGTTTGCCTGCTGGCTCCAAAATCTAGGGTTCAAATCTACATTGGGGCAGATTTTTGGGTGGCACAAAATGACCTTGGCAATGAGATTGACCCAGTCTAAAGGCTACCAGGTTGTGTCCTGGAAGTAAAGGCCTCATCACCCAGGTAGGTCTTGCTGATTCATCACAGACGTAAAAAGGTTCCTATGTTTTAAAATAATCACCTATTGCCCCTTGAATATTCCAGTGACCTTTGATGTTTGAGGGCAGACACATTTTTTCTTTGTATTCATTTTATTGCAAAATGTGAATTGTTAATCTTGGTACATATACATAACCGTTGCATTTACCAGGTTTAACAACAAACATCAGTGAGGTTAAGGACTGGACATAAATGTGGAGGTACATCACACTGTGGAAAGATCAGCAAGCATAATTAGAAATACCTGGAACTGTCATTCACAGAGGAAGAAAAAAGCGGAGAAACAACAAATAGAATAGTTAAAAAAGGCGGCTAAAAGAATTGGGATGATGCAGACAAAGATGATTGGACAAGTTAAATATAAACGTTCATTTCTTGACTCCGCTGATAACAAAGGAAGGAAGGAATTATTGATTAAATAGGTTAAGGTTCTACAGTTCTTAAGCAGTCTCAGCATGATAAAGTCTCAGGTTGGTTTAAATTTCATTTACGTTTATATTAATTTAAAGACTTTTGTGTGTTAACAAATGTTTAAAAAAAAAAATCCAGGAGGTTCAATATTGAATTCAAAGCAACGAAATATATAGGTTTTTTTGGGTGATTTTAAGATACAGAAATAAGTAAAATAAAAATGAATTCTTTAAAGTTTTTTTGAAGGTCGATTTGTTTGAAATTGTTATGTTTTCCTTTTACTTCAATATAATGTTGATAATCAATTTTTTTTTTTTTTTTTTTTTTTTTTTTTTTAACTTTTTCTGTTTAATAATTGAGCATCTTTAACAAAGATACACCTTTGATGTAATTTGCACTTTTAATATATTTTTAAAACGAAACTGTTTGTATTCACAGTTATTGGATGGACAAACATAGTAGTTGCTTGCTAGTTAATAGTTTGTCCTGTCTGTTCTTTCTCCTATGTAAAGCAGTTGCAGGTAGCTTAAATATGTGTATAACTTGTTATGTTCTGGCTTTTCAGATCTGTCAAACATCTTTGAATCTTTCCTGCCGCAGCTTTTGACCTATCCTAACCCCATTGATCCACTGAACGGAGATGCTGCTGCCTTGTATCTGCACAAACCAGAAGAGTATAAGAAACGTGTCAAAGGTTTGTGGATATAGTCAGCAGTAGTGTTAGTGAACAGGTTTTATTGCTGTAACCCTGTCCCCACTGTTTTTCTACTTTTTTTTATCACAAAGCTGCTCCTTGGGTAAAAATTTAAACCATTTCCAGATATATGGTGACCCCGTGAGTGTAAGTCGGGATCTTGGTCATATGTGACTGAGCTACCTTATAACATTAGTTATGTACTACCAGTTCTCTGTTAACACCAAATGTTGGGCGGTCTGAAATCCCACTTGTGCCAAAGGCTTTGGGTGGGAGTGCAGTGAGGAGGATACTAGCCCTATCCTAGGACAAATTATTGCAACCTCAGAACTTCATGCTATGGCAGGGCAGGTGGCTACCCATGCTGCTGAGAGTGATCAAGCTGTATAGGTGTATGGGACAATCCTGTGGAGTGAAGTTGTTCCTCCTTTTCTTCTTTGAGTCTTGTGATAAAATTGATCATTTTTTGGAGGTCCTCTTTGTGTATATCATTGACCCATTGGGCTAGTATTTCCATCATTAATGGGCTGAACTAGGGAAGTCTTTCATGGCATTTATAGCTGTGTGCACATAGCAAGCCATAGTGAGAACAACAAAGGATTTGCATTATCTTGATGATGATTGTGGGCAATTAAGGGAAAGTAAAAGACCCTTTGCAACACCATTAGATATATAGGGGTAGACCTTAATTTATAGACCAATCACTACTTGGTTGGTGATGTCGTCATCATCACACCAGCTGCCTTTACTTCCCAGGATTCCACCTGGTACCCATTCAAGGCCTGGTTGACCTGGAAGCTAAGGAAAAAATGTATTGTGCCATCATACCTGAAGCTACGACCTTCCGATCTTCAAATGAGCATCTAGCCGCTACACCACATCGGAATTAAGCCAAAGGCTCCCAGTTTGACTCACCCTCAAATGGGTGCCGGGTAAAGCCCTGGGAAATAAAGGTAGCCAGCCTAATGTTGACCACATCACTAGTCGGAAGCCGATTGGTCTATGAAAATATAAGTCTAGCCTCAAATGGCCAATACCTCACTGGCGTGTACAAGGCATTTACTTGTTACTTTTTCTTGTAATTAAATGGTTAAAAATATTTCAGTAAATAAATTGTTGTCATTGCTGTGTTCATTGATGAAATTTATATGTTCATGGGCTATATTCAGATATGCCGATATGTTCATTGATGTCATTTCTTTGTTTGTAGAGTACTAGAATTAATTGCCCAAATTTGCCCAGGATAAAGAAAGCAAATTTAAATCTCTACGTCATCGTGGTCTTCACCGCTGCCGTTTGTGTAGTAGAAACTCCATGAAGGAGTAAGCACAAAATGAGCCTTTTGTCCTAGTTTCTTTTGGATGCCCTTATTTCCTCAGCCCGGCAGTATCCCATTTCAGTGCATTTTTGGTGATTCTTTGTTTGTCTCTTTTATATCTCTTGTTTTTTACAGGGTGTTGGGGCTAATCCCTGAGTCACGGCCCAGGGTCAGAGTGGTAGGAGCCTCCTAGACTATTTCTTCCCATAATTAGCGCTACCACCAACTTAGCAGCCCGTTGAAGTGATAAGGCAGTTGAGGGGGCAGTAGTGCCAACTCTGCTAAGAACTGGACTAGGAGGCTGTTTCCACACCATCCTTACAATGCAGACTGTTGGCCATTCCTCCTAAATCTGACAGATTAAGCAACCACCTCCTCTGACTCTCTGCACCCCTAGCATTTACTTCAGAGTAGAAAGAATACTTTTCCATGGCTTCAGGCGTATTTGGCATATAGGACTAGATGTATGTTTTATAGGCTGGTTGACACTTCGTGTGTGATGTGATCATGTTGACCGCCTTTACTTTCCAGGATTTAACCTCTTACTTTTTAAGGGTGTGTTGACTTTAGGAGTCAAGGTAACTTTTGAAAAAAAAAGTCCAGCTTTGTTCAGCTCCCACAATGGGTTTCACTTCAGTCAAAATTAATAATGGTTACTATGTTGTTGTTTTTTTTTTTTTATTAATTTCAAAATAATTCTAACATGTGAAGCCTGTGAACTGTAACAGCTTTTGAAATGTGAAAATCGCACAGAATGAGAAGCTAAATTTTCAGCTTTTCTTATACATTAGGCTGTACTCATAGCTTCTGATATTCAAGACAAATCCTGGTGTTCAGTGCCATCAGAAAGATTTGTAAGCTACTTTTGAAAGTTTAAAGCATGATTTGTGAAAATCGCACAGAATGACATGCACCTTAGTCAGATCTTGTTAAGATGCGCAATATTTATTATTGTTATTGTTAATATTATGTACCGAGTGAAAAGTACCTTGGTGTGCACCTCCATTTAACAGACGTATGCAGACATATATATGTCTGCCAGATCTTGAAAAGAAACGATTTATCAAGTATCAAGGAAGATAATAACAAAATAGCGTTTAAAAAAAAAAATATTGTAAAGGACATCAGAGACAAAATATTCAAAAGGATATATTTGAGGTGAAAGATTACTTTTACTGATTGTTGCATTTAAATAAAGAAATGTGCATAAACCTGGCCACCAGTGTGACACTTAAATTAAAACATTGTAGCTCTAATGGCATTTAAAAATCTAACCCATCTAGTTATCAAGGTTTGGGAGGAGTTAGCAGTTCAGTTAAAATGTAGACACAAACTACAGGAAGACATTTGTGCTTAATTTAGTATAAATGTCATTTCCTTGTCTATTTACTATGTTCAAACACTCCAGTGTGTTTAATGATGTCATTTTGTGTTTATATATTTGTTAATATTTTCTAGTGTTTTGATTTTTGTTTTCTTATATAGTGTTTAAATACTCAAATCTTCTGTGTGTGTTCTGGGGCTCTATTTTTTTTTTGGGGGGGGGGGGGGGTGGGTATAGACCTTTTTGCCTCCCCCTAGCCCCCTAAAAAGTATGTCATAAACGGCAGGTAATTAGGATTGTTTCCTTCAAAGTGAGTGCTTCTGCCTGAGAGCCAGGGAACCAAAAGTCTGCGTACAGATAAGCCAGATCTCTAAAATTGATGTGCATGCTAAACTCAAATTCTGGAGAAGGCTAAAGTCAAGAAGTGGACAAACAACAAGAACTTTCTGCCAAACTTTACAGCTGGTAAACATTTAGAAGAAGATGATAAAATACTCTACTGTGCTCATTCTGTTCATGTAGACTAGTTCAAATATTGCAGTATGTTTATTGGGATTGTTGCTGTACCTGCAGACTGTTCAGATTTTCCACTGCGTTCATTGAAGACATTTTTGTACCTGTAGACTGTGTTGAAATTTACCAGTGTGTTTATTGATAGTGTTTCTGTGCCTGTAGACTGTGTTGAAATTTACCAGCGTGTTTATTGATATTGTTTCTGTGCCTGTAAACTGTGTTCAAATTTTCCAGTATGTTTATTGATATTGTTTCTGTGCCTGTAGACTGTGTTCAAATTTTCCAGTATGTTTATTGATATTGTTTCTGTGCCCGCAGACTGTGTTCAAATTTTCCAGTATGTTTATTGATATTGTTTCTGTGCCTGTAGACTGTGTTCAAATTTTCCAGTATGTTTATTGATATTGTTTCTGTGCCCGCAGACTGTGTTCAAATTTTCCAGTATGTTTATTGATATTGTTTCTGTGCCTGTGGACTGTGTTCACATTTTCTAGTATGTTTTATTGAAATTGTTTCTGTACCTGTAGACTGTGTTCACATTTTCTAGTATGTTTTATTGAAATTGTTTCTGTGCCTGTAGACTGTGTTCATATTTTCCAGTATGTTAATTGATATTGTTTCTGTACCTGTAGACTGTGTTCAAATAATCTGCTTTGTGTTCATTGAAGCTGTTTCTGTACCTGTAGACTGTGTTCACATTTTCCAGTATGTTTATTGATACTGTTTCTGTAACTGTAGACTGTGTTCAAATAATCTGCTGTGTGTTCATTGAAGCCGTTTCTGTACCTATAGACTATGTCCAAACAATCCGCTGTGTTCATTGAAGACATTTCTGTGTCCCCAGACTACGTCCAGCGGTATGCCACCGAGGAGGCCCTTCGAGAAGCAGAACAAGCGTCATCATCCAGTGAGTCATCCATGAGCGACTTTTCAGAGGATGAAGCTCAAGACATGGAATTATAATGGTAGGACCCCAGGTCTGCAGAGCCAGGGGTCGCTATGTCTTAGAATTATCTTTTTTTAAGTTGCATAAAACAATCTTTGTCATTTTGTATATATTATTCTTTTTGATTTTTGAATCCTCCAGTGTGTAAACAATGAATACATGTTTTAAATGAGAATGATCAATTTGTTTTAAATGTTTACCTTAATGCCACTCATTTTATTCTTTGCATGATATGTATGCTGCTGAATATTTTAGTTTTGCGCTTGAGAAATGGTTTTAAGCAGTCATTTTCGCCGTGGCTTTTCTTGTTTCGCCATTTGAAAGAATAAATTGTCTATGTTTTTACTGTTTGTTAGTAGTTGATAATGCTTTGCATTTAAAGAAAAGGAGGAGGTTTAGTATACAAACACAAGATACATTTCCATAACAGATCTGAGGTTAAGTAATGTGGATGAAAGTGAATTTCAGGTTTATTAACACACAGACTGGGTCAACTCCTAAGTAAAGGCAGTGTATTTGTGCATGGAAGAAAGCAAACTTTTTAGCAGAAATATGTGGAGAACACATATTTTCCAGTTTATATCACATTATGATATTTTGTTTATTCAATTTATGACAAATTTGGGTGTTTATCCCTTACGAAAGAAATGTAGATATTTTAGTGTTTCTACCTATAATTTGTCCCTGCATTTTTTCCTTTAAAATTATGTTATTCCCCAAGTCTGTCCAGCCTAAAATGGGTACCAGGAATCTCCTAGTAAGTAAAAGTGGCCAGAGATGTTCATCAGATCACCAGTAGAGTGAGAATTGGTCTGTCAAAATATACATCTAGCATTGTGTCAAAAATATGAAAAGAATCCTTTATTTAATTTACTTTTGAATTAATATTTTATTGATCT